CACAGCCTTCAGAGGGAAGACTTTTCCTTCCTTGAACCATTGGCAAAATCTTTCTGGTTTTTCTTTCCATATATTTGAGGAGTTGGCAGGAATCCACTGTGCCTGGAACGAAGGCCAAGTCTGTCAATAAACCTCTTTGGACTGTAAATATTTGTGTGAGTCCATTAACTGTACTGAGTGGCTGGGGTAAACCAGGGGTAAGCCAGGTACTTTACTTACCCACTACGCTAATGAGCCACAGGCAGAGAACCCACTCTGTGGATTATTTGCAATAAAATTTAAAATGTTCACAGTGTTAAATTAAAGCCTGTCTAAGTTCTCTTTGGGTTTTTCACTTATTTCTGGGGTGGCTTTCTTTATTAGCATTCAGCATATGAGTTTATTTTAGGAGTAGTCTAGGCAAAACACAAGTAGAAGCCAGGCCTGCTGCTTATATACAGCACACACACACACACACACACACACACACACACACACACACACACACACACACACACACACTCACACACACATACACACACACTCACAGAGAGAGAACATGAAAACATATAAATGCTACCTAGCTCCTTCTAGCTCCCCAGAACTAAGTATCCATGGCAACCAATTAGTTTATTTGTTGACTCCAGCTTGCTGTATTTTTAAATAAAAATAAAATTTCCTCTTGTTATCAAAACAATATGTTCGTTATGAAAAACAGGAACAAAAATTTTCAGTGAACTTTTCGGACACAGTGACATAACTCCACAGTTCAGTGAGAACCCCACTTAACACCTTTGGAGTATCCTTTGGGGTCATTGTATATATTTTAAGGTTAACTCTATATAAACCCTGAGAAAGGTATTATTGAATAGCTTTAAAAAACAAAGTGTTGAAGACATTCTTCAGACTTTAAATGTTGAGCATTTCAGAATACATTTGTGTTGGTTTTGTTTTGTTTTAGTTTTCTGCTAGTGACATCCTTGCACAAGTTGTTTCTTTAGACTGGACTTTTAGAAATGGGCTTGTTGAGTTGGAAGTGCTCTGACATGTATTGCCCAATTGTTCTACAGAGTGTATTGATGTAGACAAGGGCCGACAATAAACACCTTCGTCGACACTGAGCCTTAAAAATATTTTATGAAATCTTTGTCAAGTCAGTAGGGAAAATTCAATTTGATTTCTTTGATTACTAGTGAGATTGAACATTATACTTACTGGCCTTCGGCATTTCTTACTTTATGATTTGCTTGGCCACAGCCCATGTTCAGTATTCCCTGAAGATACCTGTTTATTGATTTCCGAGACCAGCTTCTCTATATAAGGGATATTGATCTTCTGTGTTTAAATATTTTTCCTTACATGAGTTGCTGTTTTATGTTTTGACCTGGTGAAAAAAGTATGCACTCAATGTCTGCTTTTCCTTTTATGGTTTTGTATGTACTGTCTCTTTTAGGATGCATTCTCCATCTATTGTGTGGATGTTTAGCTACATGTTTTTGCTATTGCTCTCTTCTCTGCCTTCCTCTTCCTCCTCTCCCACGTTCTCCTCTCTCTTCTGAGTTAATATGTCATGTATCCAGGATGATCTTAACTTTGCCTTAGAGCTGCAGCTGGCCATAGAGCTGCAGCTGGCCTTAGACTCTTGCCTCTACCTCTTGAGTGCTGGGGTCAGAGGCTTGCTCCACTATACCTGTCTAAGTTTCATTTTTGAAATTTGTGAACTGTATTTGGTGTGACATAAAGGTGCTTAAATATATTTATTTCAAGTGGTCCACTATTAAAGAGTTAATCGATTTTGCTTCATTTAACCTTTCTCCTAAGGTATTTGCACATCAGTTATATAATAAAGCACTAATAAAAAGTTTCACAATAACAGGTTGTGGCGACACATGACTTTAATCCTATCACTTGGGAGGCAGAGGCAGGCCCATCTCTGTGAGTCTGATGCCAGTCTGGTCTACATAGTAAGTTCCAGACCAGTAGGACTACATAGTAAGATGCTGTCTCAAAAAAAATGCACGTTAGAGACCCAGGGTCATGTCTACATATGCATGTACACGTACATCGACACATGTGCCTGTGCACATGTGTGTGCATTGTGTGGAGGCCAGAGGTCAAGGTCAGGTGTCTTCCTCCATTAATGTTTTTTTTGAGACCCACTCTCTTGCTGACTGTGGAACTTGCAGACTTGGCTAGTCTTTCTAGTCAGCAAGCTCCAGAGAGCCTCCTGTCTCTGCCTCCCCAAGACTGGGTCACCGCCTCACACCCACAGACTCAGGACGTCAGGCTTCTGTGACAAGCAGTGTACAGACTGAGCCACCTCCCAGACTCCGCCTATGGATACATTTTATTCGAGCAGTTTTCGAACTGGTTGCCTAAAGATAAAAGCCAGGAAGTTTTATTCCAAAATCCAGCTTTATAAATGTCTCTTGAAGAAATCACTCTGTCTGGCAACCAGGCTCACGACTTCCCTTGACAAACGTGTAGAGAGCTGGGAATAGTTACTTCTAGTAATCCCCATCCATGCACTTCATTTATTTTTGGTGTCTGCTCAGTTTCCGGTGACATTTAATATTACAACCAACTGGGCGGTGGTGGCGCACGCCTCTAGTCCCAGCACTCAGAGGCAGAGGCAGGCAGATCTCTGTGAGTTCGAGGCCAGCCTGGTCTACAAAGTTACACAGAGAAACCCTGTCTCAAAACAACCAAAAAGAAAAAGAAAGAAAGAGATTACAACCACTGGTGTTCACGTCTAAATCTATGCACATCTTACAATTGGACACATTGTGAGAATTAGGAAAAATTAAAGTTAGTTCTGAGTTTTCAAGTAGGAACACAAAAATGACAATCTTGCCTTTTCTTTTTAATCTTGTTTCTTGCCTTATTTTGTGTGTCTAATAGCCTTCTAACAAAGCTCATATGTGCTAGCTGGCGTCTTTACACCATATCTGGCTTTGGCAGGGAAGTAAGTATTTTCCATTGTCAAAATACATGCATTTTGTGGTTCTCTGATGCTCTGATGTTTTATTAATAAAAGCCATGCATGTTGAATTTTGTAAAATCAAATGACTTTAATATCTACTGATTCCTGTGGCTTTTCTCTAAACTTGATGCTTTATAGTAAGATTTCTAATGTTGAACCACATGTGTTCTTTTATTATAAATCCTAATAATATTTAACACTACCTAATGTGCCCTAATAGTATACTTATTAATCCAATTTGTGTTAAAAATAATTGGAAAATTTGCATCTCATTTTAAAGTAAGATTTGTCTATTGTAATCCCCTCTCTTATCCTTTTGTGCTTTGTCAACTTTTCTCTTAAATGTACGTAGTCTTCAATTCTCACTGTTGCTATGGTTAATTTTTATTGCATTAACTATATGTCTCTTAATTTCTTTGAAAGTTAATTTTCATAGATATGTACATATATACAGAAGTGACTAATGTCATTTGGCTGGGTAAAAATTTCGCTCAGTGCTTAGCTGTGGATGCCTGCTTCTGATTCCATCAGCTACTGGATGAAGGCTCTAGGATGGCAATTAAAGTAGTCATCAATCTCATTATAGGGGAAGGGCATCAAAGGCAGCCTCTCTACTACTGCCTAGATTCTTAGTTGGGGTCATCCTTGTGAGTCTCTGATCATTTCCCTGGTGCCAGATTTCTCTTTAAACCTATCCTGGCTCCCTCTATTAAGGTGTCTCTTTTGTTGCCTCCTCTATTCCTCCCCTGTCTCAGTCTTCCTGATGCCTCTCATTCTCTTCCCCGCTCCTCTCCTTCTCTTTTTCCTCCCTCCCTCCCCCCCCACGCTCCCAATTTGCTCAGGGGTTCTTGTCCCTTTCCCCTTTTTTGGGGGACCATGTGTTTCTCTCTTAGAGTCCTCCTTGTTTCCTAGTTTCTCTGGTGGTGTGGATTGTAGACTGGTAGTCCTTTGCTCCATGTCTAAAATCCATATATTAGTGAGTACATACCATGCTTGTCTTTCTGTGACTGGGTTACCTCACTCAGGATTCCAGTTCCGTTCATTTGCCTGCGAATTTCAAGATTTCATTGTCGTGCCTCACCCCCCCCCGCTGAGTAATACTCCATTGTGTAAATGTACCACATTTTCTCCATCCATTCCAAAGTGGCAAAAATATACACTCACACCAGCAATGGAGGAGTGTTCCCCTTTCTCCATATCCTCTTCAGCATAGATTGTCATTAGTGTTTTTGATTTTAGCCATTCTGGCCGGTGTAAGATGGTATCTCAGTTGTTTTGAGTTGTGTTTTCCTGATGGCTAAGGATGTTGAGCACTTTCTTAAGTGTCTTTCAGCCATTTTAGATTCCTCTATTGAGAATTATCTATTTAGTTCTGTATAGCTAAGCACTGAGCCATACTCCCAGAATTCAGTTGTAGAATCATTAAAAAAGAGTCTTAATGTGAAACACATATGTGTATGAAATAATCTATGGCATGCATTTGTGTAGTTTATTATTTCATTTTTTTTCAAGGCAGGGTCTCATTGTGTGTCTATCTATAACTGACCTTGAATAGTTATGTAGACCAGGCTGGTCTTGAACTCAAAGAAATCCACTTACCTCTGCCTTCTGAGTGTTAGGGTTAAAGGTGTGTGCCATTATGCCTGGCCATTTGTATAATTTAAAGAATAATTATTTAAAGAACACCCATACACTCGCCACTCAGAACAAGGCGTAACATATCACCTGTACTTAGAGCTTGCTCACCCAGGCAGGCTCACGTTGGGGGCTACACTCGTTTTCATTGCTGTATCATTTCCCATTATATAGATTTATTGTCTGTTCTACGACTGAGTGACATTTTTGCATTTAAGATGGCAGAAGAGAAACCTGCTATTTGTCGGTGGGAACAACTTATTTTGTTTGGTTTTCTACCTGGATGATCACAGGATTTTTCTTTTTTTTAAAGAAAGTCTTTGACTGTCATAGTTTATTACAATAAATTCAGACAGCTCTTTTAAGTTTGCCCGGCACTCTCACAGTGGCTCTCATCTCTTACCTGGTCCTTTTCCCCCATGCTGGCTTCCTCACAGTGGAAGGTCTCTGCTTGTCTAGATGGGAGTGGATAGCGGTTCTCCTTGATTTATGAGGCTCTGTGGAAACGTTTCAGCCTCAGCATGGGAAACAAATGTATATTTTTGCCACTATACCCGCTTTTGAAGTGACATCGCATGGGAGGAGTGGGCAGCTTCGCCTAAGCCAGAAGGGCTCCCCCTAGGTCTGCTGTGGCAGCTGAATACTCCTGTACCCCAACAAGCTTACCCTCAAACCCACTCTCTCTTCCTCCATCCCCACTCTCTCGCTCTCCGCCCTTACCCTCTCTCCCTTCACCCCCACGCCCTCACCCCGGTCCCCACTCTCTCACCATCCACCTCACCCCCTCTCCCTCCACCCCAACCCCGGTCACTATCTGCCCCTGCTTTGACATGGCAGTTTTGCCTGGAAGCAAAGACCCGAACAAGCCTTGAGCGGGCCTGGGGTTACCTGGCCCTCTCTGAGTGCTCCAGGTCCCCTTCTGAAGGTGGTGGTGGTGTTTGACTTTGGCACCGCAGCCTTGCGATTCTCACTCACCCCTGGTCTCTGTCACACAATGATGTGTTTGTCCTCTTCTACCCGGTAGGTCTTTTCATCAGAGAATCCCCAAGGGAGAGCATTAAATGCATCGACTTGTGTTGTCCCTTTGGGCTGGAAATATCACCTGTTTAGCTTGTATTGATCCTCAAGTTGAAAAGTGGACCTCCTGTGCAGCACGCTGGCTTCTGGAGCCTGGTAGGAGGGTGCAGTGGACAGAGAATGATGGGCAGCTTCTGTTTTCCTTGAGAAAAACCCCAGGTTGTTTAGCAGACTGGCAGGGAAAGTGAACACTACCTAAGATTTATAGTCGCCCGAGGGACAAACTCGTGTTTCCATGCTGACTAAAACACAGTCTCTTCCTCATAGTCCCTACAGCAGGGAGGGAGGCCAAGCATTTGCCAAACATCATGTAGACAGGAAAGAAATGCATCAGATGGGAGACTGGACAATGTTCTTAATATCCTTCCTTTCCGGAAATCTTGTGACTAGTGTTTTCTTTCATTACTCAGGGCATGTGCCGGTGTGTGTGTGTGTGTGTGTGTGTGTGTGTGTGTGTGTGTGTGTGTGTATTTCTCCAATCCTAGAGTCCTGAGTTGTTCCTGCTGCAATGTTTCCTAAAGATTTCTATTCGATATTTGAGGGTGGGGTTGTCTCATTATTGCATAGACAATTTTTTATTGCCTTAAGGGTCTGACAAATTAGGGATGACATTCCTTTTGGAGGCTCTCTGTTTCAATTCTCCTTTGTGGGCCTTGAAGGGCCCATACTAGCCATTCAGCCGGTAGTTAAGAGTTTTCCCTTCCTCCTGGGCAACAAAAGTGATTAGCAAAATTTGACTTTGCTTATTGTTCTTAAGTAAATTGCATTAAAATTTATGGGTACCTTTCCAAGAGAAGACAAATTACACATATTACAAGAAGGGAAGAAAAGACACGTGATTATATAATTCCTCTGAGAAAGGTTCTTTGTTTTGCTTGCTACATAATGTATCCATCAGAGCAGACCCATCCCTAAGTAGGTCTGTGATGCCAGTGAATTCTGCCCTAAGAACAATTTACTGACCCTATGTCTTTGAAGATAATTGAAAAGTTAGGATACCCTCACCCCTGGGGAATTGTCTGTGTCCCTGGAGTGAGTGTCTGACTGGAGACAGAGGTTGAGTGCGGTAAGGAAGGTGCTCTTAGATCAATCATATTTGAAAAGAAAACTTTTTTCCCAGCTAACATCTAGAAATGACACATTACAACCAACTGTTTCTTGAACTATCTTGGATAGAAGGGAGGAGTAAAATCATTCTGCCTTTTAATTTAAAAAGTGGTGCTCGAGAGAAAGACACCATGCAACACAGATCTCACCTGGAGGGTTTTTTTTTTATTATTAAGGGAAAGGAATGGGGAAATGGGGAGGTGGGGGGAGACCAGCCTCTTGAGACAGGAGCAGCAGAAAAGAGAGGTAGGAGTAGGGGTGGGGGAGACAGAAAGACAGGCGCAGAGAGAGAGAGAGACAGAGACAGAGAGATAGAGACAGAGAGAGAAGCAGGACAGGGCCCTTTTAAAAGGGAACTGGCTGCAGGTGAGAGGGTATCCTGTCAGAACCCCAAGGGCAGGCCAGTACAGATGCCTGAATAATAACACTCTGATTGTTTTGTGGCTGTTGGAATGTGGCAACTACCACTACTTTTCCTCTAACAACCGTCCAAGTGGGCCCAATCTGAGAAAGAAGACAACCTGATTGATAGTTACACAGTATTCTGCACTGTTTGGTTTGGTCGCAGTAAGTCATGGTGGTCAGGGTGCTAAGAGACAGAGATGCCAAAAGAAGTTGACTCTGTGTTTCCTTCTTATTCATATGATGCTAGGCAATATTGTGCAGAAGGTGGATTCTTGGATTGTCTGATTGGTTGCCGAGCCTGCTGCTGGGTGCAGAATGACATCCACAGTAAGGCTTGTGATCTGTGGGAACAGGAAGCAGTTCTAGCCCACAATAGAAAGTCTACACTAGCCAACTATAATGTAATGGGTTATTTAATAATGTGCCTCAGTTTCCTTTTCTGTAGCAAGGGGACAAATAGGGTACTTTCTGGCAACGCTGAGAGGATTAAATGAGATGTAGTTGTTAGAAAAACTTTGGCGGGCAACTGTGGTGCACGCCTTTAATCCCAGTACTTGGGAGGCAGAGGCAGGTGGATCTCTGTGAGTTCCAGGCCAGACTGGTCTACAGAGTGAGTTCCAGGACAGGCTTCACAGTTACAGAGAAACCCTGTCTGGAAAACCAATAATTAATTAATTAAAACTTTAAAAAAATGAAAATATAAAAAACTTTGGGACTAGAGAAAATGATTAATATTAATTAGGATATGATTGTTGTCTTATTTGGATATTTGACGAACAAATTCCTTCCCAATATTTGGTAGAAATATTAAAAATAACCCAATGGTTTAGTCTCTAAGAGAAGATAAACTCTCATGGACTATTTACTGATATTTTACATATTTGCCCTTGGTGGTCTAGAATGGATGCCTGTATATATAAACAAAATCTTACATACTTTGTTTAAGTACCATAGACAATGCCCACAAATCTCTCAATGGCATTCAGTTCTCGCGAGAAGGAACACTGCTACATAGCGATGGCTGAGGAGCTCTGTCACGAGCGCTCCCTGAGAGACTTCCGAAACACTAGTTTTACAGCTAAGACTGGCTATAAAAAGATCTCTCTCCCACTGACTTTTGTTACAAAATCAGAGATATGACCTCATGGGGGAAAAATCCCCCAATTGATGGACAAGATTGTTTGTTAAGGAGTGAGTAGATGGTATGTTTACTTATTCTACAACCGTGATCAGAGCCCTTAGCTGGGACTCCTGCTTTTATAGTTCATTTAGTGCGGGGCCTTAAAAGGTTGTAGGTGCAGTAAATGTTGACATGGGTTGACCATGTCTGCAGAACAGAAGATATATATATACATATATATGTATATTAAATTTATTGAAGGCTTGTGGGATTCTTTGTGAAAAGAACCTATTCAAAACAATTTATATGTGAAAGATAGAAGACATGTCTCAATTTGGGTCTGGAAAGGAAGTCACAGCCCATGGTCTAGCCTTGTGTAGATGGCCCTGGCAGTGATTTTAGTGTTTTTAGGAACACAGTTATAAAGCCACTCACATGGCCCAAGATGGGGTTCTGGGGATGGAGTTACCTACCAAGCTTATACAGCTAATTGTGGAAAACCAGGACCAGGACTAAGCACGTTCACAGTGCTAGGAGATGTCCAGGATACCTCTCTGTTTTCTCTGCAGGAAAAGAATCTCTGTTATTTTGACTCACAGAAGAGACGGTAAGTAGTATTTAACCCCAACCTGCTCCTTTTAATTCCAACCCTAGACGGCTGCAATACTACAAATGTACCAGTAGATGACGCTACAGGCTACATTATTGTGTACGCGTCTCCAGCTGTCTTTTACTTGGAATTTCATCATTAAAGGGAGTCCTTAGAATCCCTGCATGGATTTGGGGGGATCTAGGAAACACAAACATTTTTCAAAAATCAGGCTTATCAGTGGTAGAGAATTCAAAAAGTTTCTTGGCTAGTAAGAAATGCAAAATTTAGTTGAAATCAGTTTTCAACAGGGAAAAGGAACAAAAAGGGAAAGGGGCAATTTAAAACTATTCTTTCTGGATAGAAGCGGTCTGTGGCCCCGAGCAGCCCCCATCTCCGTCTCATTCAGCAATGAGGGGACGCCGAAGGACCAAAGAGGGAGGAGAGTCAGCACATTGCTTAGCTGTGGTATCTCCTTATTAGGCCTCCTTTGGCTTTGACATAACAGCATCAACTACATTCTGCTGTGAAGATGAATAAAGCAAAGATTAGTTGTCACCATCAACTGTGATTATTTCACCCAGCAAAAGATTTTTTTTAGTTAGAAACATTTGAAAAATCTTAGTTGAAGCTTTCATAAAAAAAAAACCAAAAAACAACAACAAAAGAAACAAAACAAAAGAGCAGGAACTGGGCACTTAAGAGGCCGTGTGGTTGGGTTCTCTAAGTTTCACAATTTCAGGACACAATGTGGCTATTTATTTAAAATAGGACCCTCCACTCCTAATCTTTTACAGGTGCTCCCTGGGGGGAACTTGATATTTCCCTGTTTGAGTTTAAGAAGCTCACGGAATGCAAAACAATCCTTCTTACCATTTAACATGCCGGATAGCTCACTTTAGTTTTAAAAGCCATATTTATTTATTCTATGTATAAAGGTGACCCAGAACGGGTTTGTAAGATCTTTCCCAGTGATGCGCTTCTGCAAGGATTCTGTTAATGTGGCTGAAACAGTTTAATAGGTAAATACAGATGTTTTCATAACTTCCCAGACGTCGAGTTGATGCTTTGATTTGGCTGATTTGTTGATTAGAAAAATATTTTGGTTAGAAAAGTTTCCGTTTACCGAGTAGCTGTGTGGGCTGCCGAGAGAAGGTTCCGTGAAGTAGGAGTGTTTGGCACGCGGCCCTTTGGTGCTGACAGCTTTCATGAATTATTAGGTGGGTAATTCAAAGTTTTGTGGGCCCAGCCTCGTTTAGTTTTACCTCTCTATTGAATTCCTGGTTACATGAGATAGGTTACAAGGCCTGATATGTAGCCCTAGCTGACTTTTAATTTATGATCCTCCTGCCTCAGCCTCTCGTGTGCCCAGGCTTGTCTATGACATGCATTTTTTTTTTTTTTCTGAGACACAATTTCTCTGTAGCTGTCCTGGAACTCGCTCAGTAGACAAGGCTGGCCTCGAACTCACAGAGATGCACCTGTCTCTACCTCCTGAGTACTTGGATTAAAGGCATGAGCCACCACCTATTATAGCCACCGACTATAATGATAGAATCCCACTCTAATTCCGTGTGTTCTTATCACAGGGTCTGAGAACATCAAGATTCTGGAACCAACAAGTCAAGGACTGGTTGGCTGATTGGATCCTGGATGTTCTGCCTATTTTGATGGTTTCTACGACAGAGAGGCCATCATAAGAGTCAAGAGCCCCTAAACTCTTTAGAAAGAAATCCGGGCTTTCCGGTGGTCCTAGAGACCGCTATTGCTGCTCCTACCGGCAGGGGGAGTAAGAGTCATTGATACAGGGTTCATGGGCCACACTCATTAACACGCAGTCTAGGGACCACTGTGCTTTCTGGGGATCGTGAAGACTGAAATGATTTTAAGCAAAAAGAAAAATAAGGGGGGCTGGAGAGATGTCTCAGTGGTTGAGAGCACTGACTGCTCTTTCAGAGGAGCCAGGTTCAATTCCCAGCGCCTACAT